TAAAGATTACTTCTCTCGAGTAGGTTTGTATTTTTAATTACCATATTAAGTTTATTTGAGAATAATCATTAGTTAAGATGCACATCAAGACTAGGATACGTTTTTAAAATCTGTGAATAAGGAAATTTTTCACAAGCAAAAATTTAATTTATAAGTAATATGACAAAAGTTACATGTTTAAATATTAAAAAACTATTACCTGTATGTATTGCATACATACTTTTAAAACAAATCATTAATATATTATATATCACACTTTTTATTTTTTATTGTATATAGTAGGTATATACATCCTGGCCAAACTAATTTGTAAATTTGTGACTATAATAATACGAATCAGATGTCAAAAAGAAAAGTATACTTTATTCACAGACTATTATAGTATATTTATTTTTATTGCCAAATTCTTACTCATAAAGTAAAAAACAAATGGAAAAAAATCTAAGCTCGACATCGCAGGTACAATAAGACTCGAGTTCACAAATATCTTCCCGTTGTTAACTCTAAAGTATTTTAAACTTTCCAGATATGGTATCGGTACTTTCAAGTACATTATGTAAAGTTATTTCTATAGTGCATTCATCGATTTGATACTTCATTGTGCGTAAACGACTTCAAGGATATACGACATGAACGATGTATCAGACTGATATTATGTTAATCATCATTTTGCCAAATTGCCAAAGATTCGAGGAGAGCTAAAATAAAACAAGAATGGAAAATTCAAATGTTGTCATTATATAAAGTACACACACACACACACACACAGTGAATATAATGAATTATAAATACATATTTTTTGTGTTGCTTGGATTTAAAATACCTACTAAAAACCACTAATAACGAGTTGTATTATTGTTGAGAATATTTTTTTGAATTCGTAATAAATTAACATTAATTCGCATTAAAATTAAATTTTCATGGAAAACACTAGACAAAATATAACGATCGTTGAGTTTGGATCATATTTAACTTTCTCAAATATTATCTCTTTAAAATAATTAAATACAATTTATTAAAGATTAGGACAATATTATTATCTGTAATTGTTCACTTTATTCTTCTACTTAAAAATACGAAATGAGTTTATGACATCAATCGAATATTTCACAAATCGTTTTCTGATACAATCTAATTGTATTCAAACTCAAAAAACCCTAATGTTTGATAATGAAAAATAACTATAAATCTACGGGGATAATATATCATAGGTAGGTATGAGGCTAAAGACATTTTGTGAACGTGCTGAATTGTATATTATATACAATATTACTGACTAATGGCCCAGACAGTTGAAACGCTGGAGAATACAACAGAAAATATCGTAAATTTGATTAATTGATTTAAATTACAACTACTTTAGCACTGAATGATGATAATAATAATAATAATAATTAAAAGTTAATACCTTGTTTTCACAGCCTGCTAGCGTCGATATATTTCGTCGAGAAGTCGGTTGAGTGGTGATTACCATGGCATTCGATTCGAGAATATTTTAGATGTTACCGAATTCGTGTTTGCTGCGATAGAAACGACGTAATATACTGTCCCTACATACCAAATCATAATTACACAAAATCTTGGGGGGATCTAAAATTAAATCAACCAGTACAACGATATATAAGTATTACTGTCTAAAACTAATAGGATTTTGAAAATTTATATTTTATTATTACACTAGAGACTAGGGAAATTCTTTAAGTTGATAACTTATTTATTAATAATTTGTTAATGAATAATATTTGTAACTTTTTCTTAATTTTTCGAGTGATAAAAAATAAATGAAACAGTCTTTTTTAAGAATTTGTATTTTACTAATTTTATTGAATGACGGTTTTTTTTGTGGCCATTCATTATATCACACGAAATAAAAGAAGGTCATTCGATATGTTTCCCTCAAAACACTTAAAGTCCAAAAAATGGACCACGAGTTCATAGAGGTTGTTGACTGCATAGGACAAGTCGTTAATAATTCAATTTTTTAATATTAATTAAAAAGAAACTTGAAATTTACAGTAAACGAATGTTGGATACTTATTCGTTATCACAATAAATTAATCAATTAGGACTTAGGGATAAGAGCAAAGTATTTACAGGATCCTTAAGAAACTCTTGACCTAACTTATTATTAGTAAAATGACGACTATATTATAGTTGTATAATTGTTCATATTAATAATCAACAATTATATAAATCTCAATATAAGAGGAAAATTTCTAAAAAAAAAAAGTTTTAATAATTAATTATTGTATACGTTCTATTTTTGTAAGGACTTGTGAACAACTTTATACGTGCATCGATTAACTTTTTAAATTAAAACTTACTTGGCAAGTTGGGTGTACATTTATATCAACATAATATTGGTTACGACGTATATTATTTATTTAATAATTGATGACTTAATTCTTACTAAGAAATTGAAAGCTATGGTAAATAATATGCTATTGGTAGGTAAGTGATTCAAAAAAACACTTTGAATAAGGAATTTTTCAATAAACTAAAGTAGTTAGAAAGTGGTTCGAGTATTATAATACAATACAAAATATTGTATACTATTTTAAAATAAACAACAATGATATCGTCATCGAGTACATACATTATATTACATTTTTCGAGATTTTAGTCTTAGGATTGTAATAATTGCTATACACAGTGAGTATACTTTTAAATTGTAAATTCTTAACACGTTAAACTATACCTGAAAATATTAACCTAGTTTGTCAGTATTGACGATTTGTGTGTGATTCAAAAGAAACAATATGTTAAATTGAAAACGCACCAGGTGTATAATAATATTTATTTTTTTAAAGTGAAGTCACGTTGTCTCGTATACTACTTGTCTTATTTACTCAGTAACTACAAAAAATATCAAATATATGGACGAGTTGATATTTTGTGGATAAATCAATACCATGTAATATCGTGTGAGTGCGTGTGTGCATGGTCACGTGGAACTCGGTGGTTAGAATCTTTACAATACCATTTTATAATAAAACCTACAGGAAATCGGATTTTTTTTATAAAATGCGGGTAGTTACACTTACCACACGTATACATAATATATTTGTTTAACAAAAAAACATTTTTTTTTTTTTTTTTACTTAAAAAATAAATCTGACTCAACTAATATGGTCTTCATTGTGTGTATATTTTCTATATTTACTTTACCAACGACAACATCAACAACAAAATACGAATAAAATCGAAAAGGGCAAAGACATTGGATAAAACATGTTTTGTATTTTATATTTTGCAGTCTGCAGACTACATATTATTATTATTATTGTATGGAAACTTGATTAAAGGGCGTAGTCGATAAATTGTTTACGGAAACACCTAATTCGGAAAATGGAACTGTTATGTTTTCTGCAAATGTTTTACAGTATACACTATACATTTATAATACGTTTTGTTACGTGAATTATTTGATAACTATTGATGCATAATATAGTAAATGTACGCATTTCGTAAGTAAGATTATAATATATTTTGTTTGTGAAGATCAAATTGGGCAAGTTTACAAAAATTATTTAAAAATCAAAATCACCTTTATTTAATTACCTATGTTTCTGTATATTTCTTACTTAAATCAGTATTGTCAATAATACCAAATACATCATGAGTTTTTAATATTGTATTGAGTTATTTGTCACTATCGCCTGTTTGAATAAATGTAATGCAATATAAATGTTAACTTTAATTTACTATACTGAAGAAGAAAATATATTGTTACGAATTAAAATTAAAATGACAATCTGTGATATTGTGATGTTATTTTTCAGTTGGCATCTATTTTTTTATGTTTATATATTATCACAATTTGTGTAGTTATGAGATATTTAACATTCGACTTTGTGTTTTTATATTTGTAAATAGTGTTTTGTTTAGAAATTATTAAACAGCGATTTATACTTGAGCTTAATATATTTCGGCAATATGGGATTATGTATAAGGAATAATAATATTGAAATTCCGATTAGGATACAACAAGAAACCGTATATCGGGGAACGTGCGTTAGGTACATTTACTTTGAAGCAAGATAATGGTATGTTGCCAGTTTGTGATATTAAACTTGAAAGCAATAATAAATCATAACATTCGTTAAAGAATACGGAGCTCTTCAAAGTACCAACTAATAATGGTTAGACTTTCGTCTGTAGTCTGTAAATGTATGCCACATAAAACTTTTTGTTTACTCTTTCCGTCGAAAACAGAGATCACAGAGCACTATAAATCATCATTGAGGAAACCAATACGTATACGCATGCTTCAATTTTCTAGGAGCTTAAAATGCAAAATGCAAAATTAGTTTTTCATTGCACAAAAAAAACCATCTAAAACAAAAACTACGAAATTCGTTGAACAACTATAGTCGAAAAGTTGCATAATTGAAATTGAATGGCCCAATTTTTATATTTTTTTTTTTTTTGATAAGTGTTATACTCTAGGACAATGGCCAAAAGCGTAAAATATATTTTTTTATACATAATATTATACTATGTTTATTCGTCTATACGTTATTAATGATTTAAGGCGAGGGGTCATTTTATAGTTTTGTGCTACACAGTAACGGTAACACGTCATCTTCTTGAGTCTAAAATATTATTATATCTTTCTGACCGATTACACGTTACAGTTTCCATGGCAACCAAACAATAACAAAGATGAAATTAATGTAATAAAGTTCCTGGGTTGCCCCTATAGCAACCGATGATTAATATAATTAGGTTAGTAGCTTGGCGTGGCACGTTGGCTGCTACCAGTCGCGGAAAGCAACTGGGAGTAAATAACGGCCACAGCTACTAGCTCCCGGATGGGTGACCACCCTTAGCCGCAGGGCTTAAGTTCAAAAAATGTATGTTGCCATAGCAATCTTATTCTACTTTTTTTAGATTCTGAGCGTAGATATGAAAGCATTAAATTTATCATTCATATATATGTACCGATGTGTCCACCTGCAATGTGGACACAACTCCATGATTTCGTTGTTTTCTGGGAACTACATGGGATCTCTGGTGATGAGACCGCTGGCAAAATCAACATCCTCCGTGTATTGACCTCGGACCATTCTTATCCCTTGATCTATCTTTTGTCTAATATTAAAAATATCGTCGATAAATAAATTATGATTCAGTTGATGGAAAAGTATTGCCCCTAATTTTTCCACTTGGAAAATTCTCCCTCTTCGATTTCTTCTAACGTACATCCATTTCTTCTCTCCCTTGGTTTTATAAATAGAAGTATTCCCGCAAAACATTTTCATTATCTCTCTCCTTCGCTTTGACCATACCCTTCTATTTACCCTAAAAGATGCTCCCCTCCCCTCCTGTACTTGACAGAATTCTTCATTCACCTCATTATTTTTGACCGTCCATTTTCTTTCTACCAATGAAATATTTTTTTCGCTTTAATTATTCTCCTCTTAATAAACCAGACCAAAAAACAAAACAATTATTTTATGAAACAATGTCCACACCAACCGATGGTATAGGTACACAGATATATTAGCATATTGTGGCTTAATTGATTTAATAAGAAATTCCGTTGGAATTGAAATGTATGAAAATAGAAAATTAATTGAAAATAGGAGACACTTTTTCGTTACGTAATATTACAGATTTTATGACTTAAAAATATTGATCGAAAAACCTCGAAACGCAAATCAATTACCTACATCGTTGTAAGGATTTTTCATACTATCGCATGAATTAGAAAGCCCTAAACGTAGCCTGTTGGGTAAACGACATTGTGTATTTTCATATGAGGTAATGCATGCTGCTATAAACTATGTTCGTGCGGCAAACATTAAATATTAATTTTTCACGGTAACCCATTTTGGGTAAAACGGTCAGGCAGAAATTTCATGCGCGTATTTCATGTAAACGACAATATGTAAACCTTGTAAAGTTTTTGCATTCATAAAAGAGGTCCCTGGGGTAACCGAAATGCGGTCGTATCGTAAGGTCTGTGCATATACAACAGCCACATTATACGGTATTTGCCCAACATCGATTCGGCGATATTAGATTGGACAGTATTGTTTATCTAATCGACAAAATTTGCTTCGTAAACTCGAAAACGAACGTTCGCTTCGATCGGGCTAGGTCGAAGTACCAACCATCCTCTGTTTGACACCATCGAAAAAAAAAATACAGTTAAACCTTACCAAATGGACACCTCCCAATAGCCGGCGAACCGACTACACACTTTCTTCAACCTGAACCCTCTGAATAACGGACACCTCCAAATAACAGATACAATTTTAGCGACCGGGAGTATCCGGTATTTAGAAGGTTGATATTTGCTGACAGTTTGCTGGAGTTGGTTCCCGAGAAAATTTGCATTATTTGGAGTATCCGCAGTTGGGGGGGGATGTCCGTTAAGGGAGGTCTCAGTGTATTTCATTCGATGAAACAAAAGATTATTGGTACTTCAACGAATCATTTAGCCTTGACATTCTATTGTTTTGCAAAAATTCGGGTTTTCCCACGTTAATTTGTGATACCAAATACAAGGCAAACAACACACGAGTTCGATACACACGATACTGTTTGCCATTGAAAACCAAACAAAAAAACCAAATACTTAATAAAACAAACTGCACGTCGATGTTGGATATGTCATAATATGTATTATCTCATAGTGAAACGAACTGGCGCGATCGGTTAGTACGAAACCGTTACGTGAATTGGTATATTATTATTATAATAAGCTTGTAAATTGTAACGATTAAAATAAGCTCGCATGTTTTTACGTCAAAAACAAAATCTCTCGTAAGTTATTTATGATGCTCCGTTATTCGCGGTCGTAAATATTAAAGTTTCAAAACTACAATAAGTGCGACGATTTACGAGTGTGAAACTTTAATGGAGCAAAACGAAAACACTAATAACAATAACAATAATAAATAAAAACAAAAAATAATTCTCACTCATAATACACCTATTATAATAATACCGTGACCGCATCATAAGCGTATACTTGACCATACATTGCGTGGTCACATTTTGCATATGGTAAGTACCTGGCTGTCAAATTTTAAGACAAATTTGGGGTTAGGGGGGAGGGGGCAATCGTCGCGGGTGACTTGACGGGCCAACCGTCCGGAGACAAAAAAAAAACTTTATAATTAATCCAGGGGGATAATTACTCGGTCAATGGACTTTGGTTGATCGTTGTATTTTCATAATTTATTTTTTTGTCAAGTCGTCGTATCTACATAACAATATTATATAATATTATAACTACGGCGGGGCGCAGGTCGCGATGATCCGAATTAAGGTTGTATAACACTTTTGATAATTTGACACCAATTTATTAAAGCGTTAGAATATAAATTATAATATAATATAATAATAGGGTCGAGAACTTTAACAAACAGTGATGAAGGTCTATATTTTTTTTTTAACCAGATATACACTTCAGGTGAATGATGATAGGTCGTTGGTAACAGTTTCGAACAACTTCTGGGTTCGATCTCTCTAAACCGAATCGACACCTCCTTCAAAAATAATTGTGATACGTAGTTTTTAATATAGTTGCCGAAATATAAACTGTTGTCGTATTATTTCTTATCTCGGATTAGATGTATAAAATGAAAAATCCATTACGGTCGGTACAGAAATGAGACACGGTTTTTCGTTTCCTGAAATAAAGTGGTGATTCTTATACTCATTTCCTTTAACCGCACACCGTCCGTACCCTATGTATGAGAGAAACTCTAAAGCTTATACTTACTTAGACTTGCGTGACTCGACGACCACGCTTCTAACGGAACAAAATCATATCCCTTCCCAAAAAAAAACAGTTCCACATTTTTTTCGAAAATAATTCAATTGACAGTGGATATTTCCATTTTTTGTTAAAACGTTTTCTGTTTGGTTAGCGTATTATACGCTGTTAATTTCAATTTATGTGAGAGTAATTTTAAAGTCACCTAAAACAATAAACAAAAATAGAAGTTCCCTTAAACTGACGGAAAAATTAATTATTGCTAGGGAACTGTTTACTCATATCTTCATCTCTCTTAAAACCCCCCTGTCAAAAAAATTATAGTACAGTGCGGTTCCTAATCGGATTATATTCTGTGATCGTGCTTCATTGATATTTTTTATTTCACTATTGTTTGTAAACGCTTGAATACCTGCATCACTGATTGTGATTGTGATTGTGTTCGCAGTGCGGAGAGAGCTGAGCCGGAACAAGCGGACCATGTGGATACTGTCATCGATCGCGGTGGTGTTTGCAATCAGCTGGCTACCGCTGACAGTATTTACTCTGCTCGTCGAATTCCAGCCGCACCTGATCGATTCCACGGACGCACTGTACAAGGCGTTCGCGGTCGTCCACATGATGGCCATGTCGACCACGTGCACCAACCCTCTGCTGTACGGCTGGCTCAACACCAACTTCCGGCGGGATATATCCGGTATATGCCGGCAGATGTGGTACTGCTGCGGTGACCAGAAACCACCTCCCAGGCGGAGGCGGTACCCGTCTGTGGCCACCGACTACCGCGGCCCGAACGACCGGCGGCTGGGGCTTGGGTCCGAAGCTGCCGGCGGATGCGGTGGAGGGGGTGGCGGCGGTGGCGGTTTCGGTGGAGGTGGTGGTAGCCGGAGGCACCAGATGCACCACGACCCCGAGACCACCGGCATGTCGATGGTGGTCAAGAGTGACCGGAGGTTCAGCACCAGTTACCTGACCACGCTGACCACGGTCACGTCCCGGTCGCAACCGGGTTCCAGCATGGGCCGCGTCGAGAACGTCTAGAGACAGTATGGTTTAATCGTCGATGATTACTATAATATATTATACATTAATAATAATAATAATAATAATACGATAGCGATAATGATGTCGTCTTGCAGTTCCCTTCGGTGGGGCGTGTATACTATAATATTGTTATTTGGGGGGAAAAAACATTAGGGTGACATTATGATATTATTACTACAAGCAAAAATATTATGTTAAAATAACGACAAATAATAAGGCTACGCGTTGATAGCACTAACGGTAACCTGCAGTTGTAAGACGCGTCGCCAGGTTATCTGTCGGTTACCCAAGCATACTAAATGTAGGTATACACGAATTTGCCTAAGTGCCGACGAAATGGTGCTAAAGGGTGTTTTATTTTTCTACTATTATAATAATAAAAACAATATGTAATTATTAATCCTAAAATTTGTCAGGAAACAAAACTGTTGAGTACAGGCCTGGGCCCACGACATATTTTTGCGACCATGTGAAAGTCTCATTTTAGGCAGTTAACGCTATTGGGTCAACACAGACATTATGTTCTATATACATACAGAGTGATTCACCAAGTATTGTCACTTCTTGTTTACTTAGATAATGCGTTTATTTAAATTCTGATTTTTTTTTTTTAGAATCTTTAATATTACGGACTATAAAGACATATTAAAATACCATATTTTTAATTACTTTGATTTACTTTGTACTATATTTTAAGAAGTACCCTGTATCGATTTTTAAATGACAACCACGATATTTTACTGTAAATTATTTAGCAGATGATTTTTTTGCAAATTTAGCCTACTCTAAATTTAAATTCTAACAAGTAGTTATTCAAGTTATTAAACATTGTGCACAAAGGATAATAATCCAAGATAAAGGCTTTAATGATATAAACATTGTAATAATTAATACTTATTAATTACCATTTTATAATTTGTAAAAATTGTCTGAGTAGGTATTATAGTAAGTACGAGATTAAATATTACATCTATTTTATATTTATGTAAAACCATTTTAAAGGACTATTATCCTTGCGTATACATTTTAATAACTCGGAAACTAATCGTACCAAACAATTTTTAAAAAAAATATATACTTACAATATTTATCGTAAAAAGAAAAGTTTTCAAAAACAGAAATTTGTATCACTACAGGACACTTCTGACATAGTCCAAAATATCCAAGTATTTAACACTATGGTCTTTAACTATCCTTGAAAATTAAGAATTTGAATAAAATATACATTGTTAGAGGAAAAAAAGAAAAGTGAGCATTTTGGTCAATCACCCTGCATAAGTACAGCCCGTGAGACACCACGAGGATAGAAATTCTTGAAACTAGACAGTTTTGAAAACTCTCAAACTAACAGTTTTTTTCGCGGTTTTGAGTTATTAAACTACTAATAAATAATTTATTTTACACACTTGTTGTATATATTATATTAAACTGTAGTTATTATTATGTGTAAAAGAAAAACGACACTTTTTAATAACTTTACAACGTAAAAATAACATTGTTAAAATTAATATTTTAAAAACCATTTTCCACGGTTCAAAAAAAAATGTACTTATTTTTCATTCAGTACACAGTTTAGAGTAAATGCATTAAAAGAACTTGAGTGAGTATACTTTAAATTAATAAGTATTCATCATGTTTAAATTATTAATAATATTTTAAATTTCAACTAAGAATTCGAAAGGTTTTTTCAAAATAATATTATTATTATATCAGTCTCGATAACTATATTATCTTCTGAAGTTGAAGTTATTTAAATATAATATCATCAGCTTATAGAGAAACACAACATAATATATTTCTTGGCATAAATAGTTATGGCTAATAATAACTAGTACAACAACAAAATTGCTTAAACTTTTTATTTTTAAGAAGCGGTTTGCTATTTTTTTAGAATATGTTCATTTTTTGACAAAATGTATAGTTTTTACCAGTCAACCATTTGTTTAACGCGATCTCATTGAAATTCAAAAGTGATCATTTGAGAAGTCGAGTAATTGTTATGGAACTTAAAAATATATTGGCTAAAGCATTTCATTAGTTTTATATTTTAATTAGGTATGTACTAGTATAATAATTATTAACTAAAAAAAAAAACAAATCAAACAATTCATACATAATTATTCTACTGCAGACTTAAAATTTCGAAATAATATTCCTAAAATTTTAATAGAGAGCAAGAAAAGAGGTGTTTTTAATTCGGAGCATAATTCATAAATATGACGTGGGCTTGGAAAAGTTGTTTTATTAAAATAAATTAAGAACTGAGTTCAAAAAGCTAATTTATGTTTAACGAATGTTTAATGAAATTATCAATATTGATTTGAGACGTTAAAGCTACTACATAGTGAAACAAGTTAGTATCATCAAGTAGTATATACTTTTAAATGCATTTACCATATTATAGACATTTCTTATACCTACTGTTAGTTTTGTGTGAATCAACATAATACTGTAAAATAAACCTCTTAAGTAAATTACGTTATTCCATTATTAATTGTTAATAAAAGAATCATGTGTGTACTAAATTATTAAAATCAATTTTAAACATAATTTATACATAATATAATATTGGTGTTATTTTTAATTTACTTATTTTTTACTAATTATCAATACATCGTTTTAAAAATTGCATTCATTAATTCGAAAATAATCAAACAAAATACTTGAGTTAGGTTATTTACATTAAACGAGTATCCGATATGAATACGTTTAAAATATTGCGTGTACCTTCCGAAGTCTCACTACGGACTGAGTCCTATGTAACTTTTGACTGATAATAATAGTGAATTTGTGCGCCGCGTCTTGACGGGTTTTGTTTTAAAAACCCTCCAGACGCATGTCTTGACATACAATTTTATAATTTATAATTTATGAAAAGCGATACGGCTTTAGTTTGGCTAGACAGCACGCCGACGCGTAGTAGATTAATGATTATTAACATAGTAATATAATCAATTAAACTGCAATGTAAAATTATGTAAGTACTTTAAGCCAAGTGTGTATTATAATATGTATTACTATTAATTTATTTTTTAACATTTATTACATGAAGAAAATTATTGTTGTTTATACGAACGGCGTATAACTGAATAACATGATTTAATAATAGTATAATATTGTACAGCTCTATTTGGATTAGAGCGCAATAACATATATTGGATTTAAGGGGCAAATGGACAATCTTGGGACCACACTACAATCATGTTTATATTTTATAGTATTTTGATTTGTATAAAATTAATTTACTCGACTTATCTTCGACATTGTTAGTATCCATCCCGATCCCCCCCGTAAACGTTCGCATCCACAAAATATGACGTGTGAACAGAATTGTTGAGCCGTCGACCGAAATATCTCACTCCAAAACAACGAGTGTACTCCTGCAGACAGGACAGACCGATCATACATCGATCATATATTATAATATAGGGTACCTATGCTCTATTCGAGTCGCTCGATCGACCGATAAAGTCTGTTTGCTTTCGCAAGTTGCCCCACCCGTGATAGGTTTCATACCGACGCCAAGTGACCTTTATTATCACATTACAGTGATATAATGGGCGAGTGCTAAAGTGGGTGAACTCGACTCGAATAGAGTGTAATACTGTAATATAACGGTATTATAATAATATAATATAGTATAATGTAATGATGTGTGTATAATTCATGAATCGACGTTAACAACAGCTGATAGGTATGTGTTTATAGCGAAGTAAGTGACGGTTGACGGACATGTGTAAATCGGACAAATCGTTGTTATAATATTAGGTAAGTGATCATTTTTAAAAAAAAAATATATAGATTTTTTTCTGCCAAAATATATGATTTTAAACCGATGTTTTAAGAACCGTTAAAACTTTATAGTAACCTGAAAATATTTATTTTGAAAACAATCTCTTACCAAAACACTGCCATGGGTACAAATACAACTATTGTACGGTTATGATCAACTACTGTCAAATGCACAATTGAGCAATTAAGATATCTCTCAGAGTAAAAATAACCGATTAAATAACTGTATGAAATAGTTTTGATAAAATCTAGTTTTGTCTTCTAGAATTATCACACTACAAACACACAGCAATGAAAACGGTTTCGTTTTTTTTTTTTTTTCTAATTTTAACTTACACGACATTCGTCGTAGTTGTTTATGTTCTACCTGCGGCTGGAAATTAAATTTATCCAAATTTCAAATATTTAGTCAAAATTCGCTACCTGATAAAACTACACATTTTATTCATATGTGTAGCTGTATATATTTGGAAAGTTTTGAATATTTTAGTACACTTCTGATGGGGTAAATTGATGGGGTAAAATATAAAACAAAAGAGCCATGAGCCGTGGGATAATTTTTCATTAAACAACGCCGACGCATTTTGTGTTAGTAGATTTATCACCAAAATTTATCTCGTAAGCGGCATATTATACAATTGTTCGTAGAACCAACTAACAATATAATATATAATATACATATATATTATATTATTATCCAACCCTCGCATTATAATTATTGAAAATTAATTTAAAAAGGACACACCTTTGTCAATGATAACACGTGAACTTGATGTTAATTTACCGTGTTGGTTAGCGGCGACCAGTGTTATCCGCAGGCCATTGTGTTCAGACTAATTTAAATGCACATACAACTCATAACAGGTAGGTACCTACATTATCAAACAATGTTGGGATATACTCCGAGTATGGATTTTTTATTTTTCATCAAATTATTCAACCCCCAGAGTTTAATAATATTTAAAATTTATCGGGTACAGTTATTATTCTTTTTCGACAAATTCACGAACATCGGCATCTGGTTAAATTTTTTTTCAGCAGAAATTAAAATCTTATAGCAACACCGATACATGTCCGTATTCGGGTACTCCTTATTCGACTTTGAAGGAATCGATACGACCGTAAAAGAAAGACAATTCTCAACACAGTTCTCTCTCATCAATTTTCACGAATATCAATTAAAATAATAGGTATAGTTGAGAAAC